TCACCAGAGCGGATCGAACTCTTCGTCACGCATCCAACGCACCCGGAATCACTCAAATCCAAGTCCAGATGAAGAATCTACAGGGAAACAAACAAAATATACCTAAACGGAGTCCCGGCCAGTCGAAATACCCCGGGGTGTCTAGGAAAAGCCTAGACACCCTAGGGTGGACAAGCTGTCGCGCTTAAGCCGCGGCACTATATGCTGTCGCGCCTTAGCCGCGACACCATGAGTTGCCGCGCCACCTTGTGTTGCCTGATGACGAATAAATTGTTCTCGCATGTTGTTTTGAATGGTATTTGGATGTCTGCAAGTATTTTTTGACGCCTACAATACATAGTGAATTTCTCGTATTGTTGCCCCGTGGACATAGGTCGAAGTTGGTCAACCGAACCACGTAAATCTTGGTATTCTTTTCTTCTTAATTGTGGTTATTCTATCTTATTGATTGGGGTTGGCTTTCGAGTTATGCATATCGTGGTAGATGGGGAGACTGAAATTCCCCAACAAGTGGTATTAGAGCGAAGATGACGCATCCGGGAGCGAGTTCACAAGATAGAAGACGACGTCGTGCAAGATTAAAAATCGGTGTTACAAGAATCAAGATGAAAAAAGGGAAAGGTTACTATAGCATAACACTGTAGCACGACGGGTACTGTTCACATGGGGATCCGACGGTCCAGATTGATTTGTTAGCCGATTGAGGATTTGGGGGCGGATTTTGGTGATCCAGGAGTCGTTCCTAGGGTTTTTTGACGTGCTGAGTTCGTTTTTGGCATCGGTTTCATCAAATTCAAACTCTATGGTAACTGATTTGAATTTTAATTAGAGAATGATGACTTCTTCGGGTACGAAGTTTGATATTCCGCTATTTAACGGCAAGACAAATCTGATGGTATATAAGGAGCATGAGTTGGTTAGTGTGTATACTTGAGGAGGACAGTGCCAAATTAGATGGAGCTTGCAAGCGGGCACGACTGAGTGACACACATGAAGATGAAGATGGTGGCATTGGACTTGAAGATGGTGAGCGCTCATATTCAGTCCAAGCCAAGTAATGGAGGAGATAGAGGCATCCGGCTCGTAGTGTGGAGTAGGAGAAGTGCACCGATATGATTTGAGATGAGCGATGCAGGTCGAGTATGAGGACAACAAGTGGGGGAAGACTACTGTGAAGTTCAGTTTGGGAGGAGAAGCATGGTTGATTTGCTTCTAATGTCAGAGGTGGCGAAGATCTCTTGGTGCGCACAAGAGAGGTGGAGGTGCCACGGCGAAGCAGAAGATAGTGAGGATCATGAAGACATCCAATTGGGAGTGCAGGTGTTCTGATTTGAAGTACGGCGAAGCAGAAGATAGTGAGGATCATGAAGACATCCAATTGGGAGTGCAGGTGTTCTGATTTGAAGTGCGAAAGAAATAGAAGACTCTAGCGGTGCAGGTGTTCTGATTTGAAGTGCGAAAGAAATAGAAGACTCTAGCGAGAGAGGCAAAGTTTCAAGACGGTGATGGTATATCTTCAAGGGAGTTTGGGAATCAAATCCAATGTGGAGATTGTTGGGATTTTGTCTTTGATTCTTTGTGTAACTTCTTGAGAATTAGATAGGATTAGAGTT